GGATAGACAGCGAGACGCTGCGGTGGAACGAGAGGTTTCCTAAAGGGACTCTGGTGGGTAGAGACACCACCACTTCAGTCCAAAGCTCCTCACAAGAACTTTCAGATAGATTTTCATTTTCTGTGAGGAGGACAACAGTATTTTGTATGAATCAAATTGGTGTAAATATTATTATTTGACTTAACTCACATACAAATATTAAATGAGATTGAAAGGAGCAACTGACCGAATGTATAAAAACATTCCATTTGTGCTGGAAGCCAAATCCCGAGGTGTAGACGATAAACATTGAACATTTAAATGTTTTGAGAATAAAATGACGTGTGTAACATTCTACATTGAATGGAGTGTTGTACTACTGGTCTAATTACTATCACGATACTTCCTTGATTCGGACAAACAAACATCTACTTCAATGGTGGGACTTCCTGCTTCCGTCTTATCAGTTAGATCCAGAAACAATGGGCTCAGCCCACGCAACAAAAATATGTTGTGATGCCGTCCTCCTCCAGATGTCCCTCTCTGGGCCGGGGCCAAGAGGATTTATAGGGGAGGGGGACCAATGGCTGAAAAACACGTAAACATGGCTGCCACAGCACACAACATACGATTAGTATCTTGTTTAAGCACAAGCCTATTTTATGGCATCTGCTCCAAAAATGGCACACCCATGATACAAAGTTCAATTACTCTGGAACTACTTTGTCTATTTGTACAATTTCTTTTTGAGGGGATAAAGGGGAACCCCTGTGAGCGCTATAATGTGTGACAATCAGTCTATATGTTATTGTTGAAAGAATATATCAACATTACACACAAGAAAAGTTTGAATTTTGAGATTTGCCTCAAAAAATGTCATAAACTTGCCCTATGAATCCCATCCATCCATCCATCATCAAACCGCTTATCCTACCTATGAATCCCATAAAGCTTTAAAGCTCAGTATCAAAACACATCTACGCACGAACCCAGTTTGTGGACGGTACACATGTAAAGTTTCAAGTTGATGGAGGAAGGATAAACTACTCTACTGAAGGCTTCTGTGAAGGCCTCACGTCAGACGAACGGCTGGCTCAGAGTCTTCATTTTTTTATAAGTTGAGTTCGGATCGGACCCAAAGAGGCGCGCAAGCGACCCTGTGCTTCCACGGGCTTTTACTTTGAAAAACAGATAGAGCGTCACATGTCACTCCAGATTTCTGTTTGGCTCAAAAAAAACCGACCGGATAGCTTGAGCAGCCATGTTGCCTCGCTAGCAACAAGTTCTGAATGTTAGCTAAACGCTAACAAGAGCTTCTTGCAAAAACCGCGGATTAAATCCATTATTTCTGTGAAAAACAACAAAGGTACATCTATTATCTTTTCCCTCCTTGATGGGTTTTGTACTGGAAGTTCGGCCGGGTTCGTCTGAGCGAACTTATATCACCGTAATCAGCGCGTTCTGCTCGTGTTGCCTAATACTGATGTAGCATGAGGCGTCATAAAAATATGGCACTTTTGGTCGGTCAAGTCCAACATTTCTGGACAAATCTACATGGAATATGTTCTTACTCACACACTGAAGTTGTGTTGAGTATTTTTAAGTAGTTTACGGCTTATTGTAGCCAGGGCTCTGATGTTGAAAACAAGGTTAACCAAGCTAGGTAGCTAGCTATCTAGCTATCTATGAGCATTATTCAACTGGCTGTGCGTCGATTTCTATGTCTACTTGGAGAAATTTCTATTTTTTTGCTGCGATGCTTTGGTGGTTATTTCGCGATAACTTCGGCGGGCTTTTGTCTGAGAGAAATAAAACACACACCACTAGAATCAGGTGATCTGCTGATGCTATTTGGTGTGTTGTTTTCCTTTATAGAATTTATTTTTGACGGGCCGAGAAGGTTCTACACCACTGTACACACAGTTTTTGGACAGATTTTTATAGTATTTTTATTTGACTAATATTACCACAGTTAAAGTTGTCTTTGCAGTATTTTAAAGTGGTTTGTTGCTTATTGTAACCAGAACTCTAATGCTTCCATAATAATCCAAGCATCATATCTGTGTTGAGAGATCGGTCTGATCCGGCTCCGGCTCGTGTGTTGCATAAACATCATAACCATGAGTTTATGGTCTTTTACTTTTAAGTCTTTGGCTATAACTTGCCTATGAAATCACATAACAATTAAAAAAGGATTAGTTTGATAACATAATTTATTTTATTCAGTGTTTTAACAACTTACATTGTCACATACATGTGTTAATATGTGACTTAACGCATTCACGGATAATATAATTTTTAAATAATTTTCCAGCACATTTGACCCGTTCTCCCTTTTTCCACCACTTGAAAATTGGTCAATTGCTTTCCAAGGACTTGTGGGAAAACGATTTTAAAAAACGTAAAAAAGGATCTAAAAATGTTTCAAAAATAAGTAAACAAGTTTCATTGGGAATTCAATATACACAATTTTATTTACATTGACAACAACATCAAAATTACAGAATAACACCAAAGCCTCAGGTTTAATAAATATGTAGCAGAATGCAGGGAAACGTCTTAATGGAGATTGGAAATGTAGTTTTTTGCGTTGGCGCCGTGATATTGATGATCACATGAGGCCGCCGGTCTGGTTGGACGAGGCGGCCTGGCATCACTGAAGTGGTGAATCAGCCAAAAAAACTATCCAAAGTGGATCTCTCGGGGTTAAGTTACCATGGTGACTGACACATAAGCTGCTTTTTCTTTCCTATTCTTTTTTTTTCACCAGTTTAACCAACAGTTGGAAATCTGTGCACACATTAAGAAAATACAGCATATTAAAACTCTGAATCAATGTACCACGTCTTCATTGAGATAAACATCTTCAAAAGCGTCACTTCTTCACAATAAAACGTACATTCATATTTACAAGAAAGACAGAGCAGTGCGTTATTTTTTATTGACCTAACTAAGTGTATGAATCTTCAGCAGTGGCACCTCTTGACAGTATTTCTGATAATTCACAGACATGCACACACACACACACACACACACACGCACACACACACACGTGTTCACACACTCAAACAGGACACTTTCCTGGTGCTCTTTACAACTACGTCCACCACTGGGGAGGGCGGGGTCATAATAGTGGGGGACTGGTGCAGACTACTGGCTGAGATGGTGGTAAAAAGTCCCACATCTGTTGGAGGAAACATCTGGGAGGGCTGCTGGGAGACCAGCTACTAGGAGAACAATGAGATGGCCGACGGATGGAAGCTGAGCGACAGAACTCTGAAGACAACGTGTTCTCCTCCCACCTCGTCAGACACAGAAAGTTCAGAGGACCACGGCGTTAAACGACGACACTCTATGTCCACCTCTAGCGGCAGGGGATGCTTTAGGGCGGGGCTACAGGCTGATTGACGGGTCTATAATAATCCGTAAAGCAGGGGATGCTTTAGGGCGGGGCTACAGGCTGATTGACAGGGCAGGGGACGCTCTATGAAGTCATTGTAGAGTGACATTACAATGAAAACTACAACTAAAGACGTATACAGCGTCTCTACGTCCTCTTCAGTCCATATATGGTCATCCCGTCCTGTAACAAAAAAACAAGACGTCGACGACCAAAATGCCAAAATCAAGGCTTCATAACCGCAGTCAACAAACTGACGAGTGACATCATGACAACAACGTCCACAGTTTGTGGGTTTCCAGTTGTCTAAAAAACAAACCTCTGTCTTCACGGGAAATTCATGCCACAAAACCACCAAGTTCAGTCCAGCAAAAGGTCGCGAGTGACAAACGAGACCAGTGAGCGACGGTCGACATGACCAGAAGGTAAACGTCTACTTTTACATGGGACACAAACGGCGGTTTGACCTCCGAGGAGAATCTAGCTCTTTATTCTCTGGTGCGACGGTACCAGACCTTGAGGGCCAGAAGTCGGTGTTCAACGAATTGGGAGGGAGACGGCATCGTCGAAGAGGACCCCCCCCTGTCTAGTCGACTCTAGGAATATTGCCGTCGGCTTAATAGGCATCGCCCTCGACTTTGTCCATACGATACAACAGAGGACGAACGAGTCCTTAATGAAGAGGAAGAAGGTGAACACACACATGAGAAATGTCAGTACCTGCCTCATGCTCGTAAACAAACCCCATAAACCACACAAACCGTGAACAGCTATTTACACCTTCTACAACAGACCTCAGCAGTCCAGCTGTGAAAAAGACCAGCAGCTGCATTCTGACGTAACAGAGCCGAGAGCCGGAGTCTCAGGCGCCATCGCCTCCGCCTCCCGTCCAATCGCGCAGCGGCGCCATCGCCTACCGACATGCGCACGTATGCAGTCGACGAGCACATGCAATGAAGAGCTAGCGTGCCGCGTCTGTTCCGTATCTCTGGAGACGACGGCGTGGGATTACTCGTCGGACCATCCTAGGTAGCAAAAAAAATAGATGTATTCTCCTGATCCACTTGAAGCGTATTAGCGCAAACGCCAGTGTCTCCGTACCTGCACTCAAATTGGCCACCGGAAAAAATAGTGTCCTCTTCATATCAACAGTCGGTCCGAACAGTCGGAAATAATATTGAGAATAAGAGTTAAAAGAAAAAAAGGATAAGCTGCGTGAAATGTGTGAGGAGACGTGAAGTCCAAGTTCCTCCAACGACGGACAACGAGAATAATAGAAAAAAGCGAAAGGAAAATGCTACGTAAATACCAGGGAAACAACAAAGGATCCAAAAATGTAAAAACAAGAAAAAGAGGGTGGAAAGCAATAGAATGACCTTTATGAAACGTGTAGGCATGGGGGGGGGGGTCCCTCCACCGTCTCCAGGTGTCTCAGCAGCTCTCTAAAGGAAGCATGAGTCCAACGGTCCTCCCTGTGTCTGTGCCGATAGTCACCGGTCCTCCGATGCTTCTGGTGCTGATTGTCTGTGTCCGGTCGTCTGTGGTGGGGGGTCGTGGGGGGGGGGGGGGTTATTGGTCTGTGGCATTACAGGCACTTTATGGGCCGGCCGCGGTCGGGTCCTCACACCCGTTGGGCTCTGAGGGCCGTCCCCTCCAGGAAGACCTCGTGCTGGACCAGCAAGGGCCGGGTCGGGGGCGGAGAGCCGCGGCTCCCGGCCGAGTCGGCGCGGTGAGGAGCGGCGATCTGAGAACTGGGCTCCGCCTCCCCGGCGGGGAGCCTGCAGCTGATGTTCAGATAAATCTGAAGGGAAGGAAGAGAGAGCGTCATTTTAAAAGTCATTTTAGATTCTTTCACTTCCCAGTAACCTGGTAGTTAGATAGAGCTCCATACACCGTCACACCCTTTACTCATGGAGATTAGCTTAGCTTAGTTTAGCAGAGCATTCATACTGGAGCCAGGTGGCAGTTAGCTTAGCTTAGCTTAGCAGAGCATTCAGACTTGAGCCAGGTGGCAGTTAGCTTATCTTAGCTTAGCTTAGCAGAGCATTCAGACTTGAGCCAGGTGGCAGTTAGATTAACTTAGCTTAGTTTAGCAGAGCATTCAGACTGGAGCCAGGTGGCAGTTAGATTAGCTTATTTTAGCTTAGCAGAGCATTCAGACTGGAGCCCGGTGGCAGTTAGCTTATCTTAGCTTAGCTTAGCATTCAGACTGGAGCCAGGTGGCAGTTAGATTAGCTTAGCTTAGCGGAGCATTCAGACTGGAGCCAGATGGCAGTTAGCTTAGCATGAGGACTTAGATGTTACATTTTTCAGGGCTGTGAACTCTGAACTTTGGCTGTTTAGTTGGATAATGTTTTGCTAGCATCACTTTTCTGCATTTCCTGTAGTTATTGCTGCTCAGGTTATTGACAACGTTCTTTTAGAGTTTCAGGGTTTTTCACACTGTATGAAAAGTACATTTCTATGATGAAAATGGCTTGAATTATACTCCGATGTGTGTATTCTAAAAAATGCTCCTTAAAACCACGTTTCAGTTCGTAGAGAATTATTACAATTCATTATTCTGAATATATTGTGTTAAGACCCATGTTGTTTTCCTTTTTTTGAAGGTTTAATTGTAGCATTCAGTCTATCTTAAACATTTAAAAACATTGTATACAAACTAAACGTCCGGGTTACGTATGTAACCCTAGTTCCCCGAAGGGACGGACGCTGCGTGTAATCGCAGCGGGAACGCCCTCAGCGTGACGCGTCTGAAGCATGAATGAAATCAGCCGATGGAGAGAAAGAGCGTACGGCGAGTGACGTCATCGACCAGGAAGCTATAAATATCCCCTGAGCACACAACACGCCAGCTTAAAAGTTACTGAAGCAGCGACCCAAGGGGATGCCGAGAGTATGGCAGGACACGCAGCGTCCGTCCCTTCGGGGAACTAGGGTTACATACGTAACCCGGACGTTCCCCTTCAGGGACTACCGCTGCGTGTAATCGCAGTGGGAACGCAATACCCACATCCCCATACGACCAAATCCCCGTCGTGTGTCATCAGGAGACACAAACCGACGAGAGAACCTGAGCCCCTGGAGTGGAGCTAAGGTCAAGGGAATAAAATCTGACGAAAGTGTGCGGTGAGGACCAGCCTGCCGCATCACAAACGTCCTGAAGAGAAACTCCTGAAAGAAGAGCTGTAGAGGCCGCCATACTCCTGGTGGAATGAGCCCTTACAGCCAAAGGTGAAGGCTGATGGGCCGAACCGTAAGCAAGCGAGATGGCCTCGACCACCCACTTGCTCATCCTTTGCTTAGATGCAGGACACCCTTTCTTAGGTGACCCAAAACAGACGAACAGTTGTTCCGATCTCCTCCACAGAGAAGCTCTGTGGACATACGCATCCAAAGCCCTAACAGGGCACAGCAAATTAAGTTTCCTCTGGTCTGACGTCAGAAAAGGCGGAGGACAGAAAGCCTGCAGAGCTATAGGTCCAACCAAATTGGTTGGCACCTTAGGAACATAACCTGGTCTCGGACAGAGAAAGGCCTTAACCATACCAGGAGCAAATTCCAGACACGAGGGAGCCACCGAAAGTGCTTGAATATCACCAATCCTTTTTAGAGATGAAATAGCAAGAAGAAGGATAGTCTTAAGAGTAAGAAACTTTTCCGAAACTTCCTCGATGGGCTCGAAAGGAGCAAGGGAGAGACCTCCTAATACGATGGCCAGATCCCAAGCTGGTACCCTCGTGCGAACTGCAGGCCTCAGCCTCAGGGTGCCACGAAGGAAGCGAGATATAAGTGGGTGTCTCCCAAGGGAACCTCCACTTGAAGGGGCGTGGCAAGCAGCTAAGGCCGCCACATACACCTTCAGTGTGGAGTGGGATAACCCTGTGGAGAGACGGTCCTGCAGAAAATCCAGCACTGTACCAACCGGGCAGTTGACTGGGTCCTGCTGGCGCTCTCCACACCAAGAGGTGAAAAGTTTCCACCTCGCGGCATATAACTTCCTCGTGGAGGGAGTTCTGGATTGGAGGATGGTCCCAACGACCTCAGCCGAGAGACCAGAATCTATGAGCTGGGCCCCCTCAGGGGCCAAGCCCACAGCCTCCATAGCTCTGGACGGGGGTGAAGGATCGACCCACTCGCCTGAGAGAGCAGATCTCTCCTGATCGGTATCTCTAGGGGAGAGCCGTCGAGGAGAGATACTAGGTCCGAAAACCATACTCGGGCCGGCCAGAACGGGGCTATAGGCAGGAGACTGAGCCCGTCCCGGCGAACCCTCTCCAGAACTCCTGGGAGCAGAGCGACCGGGGGAAAAGCGTACAGGCGTGGCTCTCTCTCAGCCAGCCAGCCCCAGTGGGGCTGGCTGGCTGAGAGAGAACCACAGTGGACAGTGTGATGTCTCTCGGGACGCAAATAGGTCTACCTCGGCACGACCGAAATGTCCCCATAGGAGCTCCACCACCTCGGGGTGAAGACTCCACTCCCCGGGCCTCGGCCCCTGCCTCGACAGGATGTCTGCCTCCTGATTCAAATACCCCGGGAGATAAATAGCTCTGAGAGAGAGAATTTTCCCCTGGGACCACAGAAGGATCTGACGTGCCAGCCCGTAAAACGGGCGAGAACGCAGACCCCCCTGGTGGTTGATATAGGAGACCACCGATGTGTCGTCTGTCCGGACAAGAACATGGTGGCCTCTTAGGTCCGGGAGGAAATGTTTCAGGGCCTGAAACACTGCCAACATCTCTAGACAATTTATGTGCCATAGACGGTGATGGTCCTCCCACAGACCCTGAGCGGGGCGACCGCTCATGATCGCCCCCCAACCCGTGAGAGAAGCACCTGTCGTTAGCATTACGCGACGACAAGGAGCTCCCAACACAGGGCCTTGGGACAGAAAACAAGGATCTTTCCACATAACCAGGGCGCGATGACACCGTCGCGAACTCATGATCATGCGAAGCGGATTTCCCCTCGGGGAGAATCCTCTGGTTCTGAGCCACCACTGTAACGGTCTCATGTGCAGGAGGCCAAAAAGGTATCACGTTGGACGCAGCCGCCATGAGACCCAACAGTCTCTGGAACTGTTTTACAGTGGATGACCGGCCTAGCTTGACTTGATGTACCGCGGCGAGAATCGAAGCAACACGAGCAGGTGACAATTGTGCCTGCATCGTCGTCGAATCCCACACTACACCGAGAAAAGTGGTTCTCTGTAATGGAGAAAGAACACTCTTCTTGGCGTTGAGTCCTCTACTAAGGGAACCAGCCTCTCGAGGCTGGCCTCTGGATGGACATCCCGAGTGACAGACACAGCGCCCTGTAACATACTGGCAGGAAACAGCTGGTCTGAACACTCCACTCTTTTCTCCGGGGCGACCACTCATGATCGCCCCCCAACCCGTGAGAGAAGCATCTGTCATTAGCATTACGCGACGACAAGGAGCTCCCAACACAGGGCCTTGGGACAGAAACCAAGGATCTTTCCACATAACCAGGGCGCGATGACACCGTCGCGAACTCATGATCATGCGAAGCGGATTTCCCCTCGGGGAGAATCCTCTGGTTCTGAGCCACCACTGTAACGGTCTCGTGTGCAGGAGGCCAAAAGGTATCACGTTGGACGCAGCCGCCATGAGACCCAACAGTCTGGAACTGTTTTACAGTGGATGACCGGCCTAGCTTGACTTGATGTACTGCGGCGAGAATCGAAGCAACACGAGCAGGTGACAATTGTGCCTGCATCGTCGTCGAATCCCACACTACACCGAGAAAAGTGGTTCTCTGTAATGGAGAAAGAACACTCTTCTTGGCGTTGAGCCTACATCCCGAGTGACAGACACAGCGCCCTGTAACATACTGGCAGGAAACAGCTGGTCTGAACACTCCACAACCCTCCTCGGAGGGGGCGAGCGTCCCTCGGGAAATCGCTCGCCGAGTCTCTCTACGCCCCGTGTAGGCAGGGTTAGTAGAACAGACCCCTGAGGGCATCGGGAAAGACAGGGCACCGTGTTCTTGTGCGGTGAACTCAAGTCTCTCCCGATGGGGACCACCCTCAGAGTCCTGACGTTCAGCCCCTCAGGACTTTTTCGACGCGGCCCTCCTGGCGACAATGACCGTCCTCAGATCAGTCCTGCCCCGAGAAGGCCGCGCCGGAGAGCGCCCCGCCTCGTCCCTCCAGTTTCCCTGCGGGGGGGCACGAGACGCGACACTCCGCTTCTGCTGTGCTCTCTTTGAAGAGGAAGAACTCGACGGCCGGGACTGCCCTTTTCGCTCAGCAGCCCCAGCGACACGTATCTTGAGAGGGATAAATTTAGAAAAAGCAGCCGCCTGTTTTTTCTCTTCCTGGAACCTCTCCGTGACCGAGTGAAGAGCGTCACCGAAGAGGCCCGCAGGTGAAACAGGAGCATTTAAAAGGAGAGATTTATCTCTCTCCTTCATAGATGTCTGACTCAACCATAAGTGCCTTTCTGTGGCCACCATGGCTGCCATAGATCGACCAATAGATTTAGCGGACTCTCTGGTGGCACGCAGAGTGAGATCAGCAGTCTGCCTAAGTTCGCGAATCATATCAGCCGAAATTTCACCCCCTTCAGAAACATCTTTGAGCAGGTCGGCCTGATAAGCCTGCATAATAGCCACAGTGTGCAAACACGCAGCCGCCTGCCCAGCAGCCGAGTAAGCCTTCCCCACCAGCACAGAGGTATTTTTTAGTGGTCTAGATGGAAGAGCCGGTGCTTTAAGTGACACCGAAGAAGCAGGAGAGAGATAGCTCGCGAGCGTCTCCTCCGCCTTCGGCATTGTCACATAACCAGCAGATTTTGCACCGAAAATGTTTCCATAAGCATTAGATTGATTTGTGTAAATTCTGCTAGAAACCGGTCTAACCCAGGTCTTTGAAACCTCATCATGAAGGTCTGGGAAAAACGGTAAGCACCGGCGAGAAGGTTGAGGTCGTGCAGACAGAAATCTATCATCAAGTTTGCTCCTAAATTTAGAATCCTGTCTATCAGCTGGCCACTCGATACTGAGCTTTTCCGCAGCGCGAGATAACACATCCATCAAACCTCCTTCATTCGCAGTATAATGTGAGACACTAGTTTCCTCTGATGCAAAACTTTCGACATCCAGATCCTCAGAACTGGATAATCTCAATTCAACATCATCATGTGCCTCCACCTGGGCAGAAGTAACCGCCGCAGCGCGTGCTTCCGAAACCGGGTGAAAGGCACTGGATCCCGCCGGAGAAGGCTGAGACAGGGCGGGGCCTGTCGCAACATCGCCGGTGAGATCCATCTGCGAACCCCAAGACAAGCGCCGCCGCTCTGCCTCAACAGAAGCGGGACCCGAGCCTTGGGGAGCTCGCAGCATACCACTCTCCTCAAAGAGCGATCGCCGCGAGCGCAGAGTTCTACGAGGAAAGCGTTCGCAATGCTTACAGTCGACTCCCTCAAGAGCCGACTGGGCATGTCGAACACCCAAACAAGCCACACATAACTCGTGTGAATCCCCACCCGTGATATATCGAGTACAGGGAGGAACGCACTTCTTATACTGCTCGCTCATATTGTCTCGGAACAGACAAACACAATCGACAGATTCAGACACACACAGAGCTGCTGAAGTAACAAAAAGCTGGCGTGTTGTGTGCTCAGGGGATATTTATAGCTTCCTGGTCGATGACGTCACTCGCCGTACGCTCTTTCTCTCCATCGGCTGATTTCATTCATGCTTCAGACGCGTCACGCTGAGGGCGTTCCCACTGCGATTACACGCAGCGGTAGTCCCTGAAGGGGAACGTGTTAACTTTGACAGCCCTGCCAAACCAATACTGCCTCTGAGAAGATGCATATAAAGCTCAGCTTCCAAACAGAGACACACTGTACCACCTTCACGTCTCACCCAGTGGGTTTCTGACCTCCACATTCACACCCACCAAGTAACAGAGTGAAATTACTTTGCTGAATCCAATCACAATTAGGAAGCATTGTGTAATTCAGAGCTCAAGGGGGCACGTTTCCCTTGATTTACCATAATTAAGAGCAGATTAGTACCTGAGGGCTGACAAAGAGGTGATTTAATTAACCTCCGCCTATTAGTGGCAGAACATTGCTTTTGTTTCAGTCACTCAACGAGCCACAATAAACGTACAACTTGAATGTTACAAATGATTGATGATGCACTTACTGTTAGTGCAGATGAGTGGGCAGGGGAAATACTGATATGTGTCATCCATCCATTATTGTAATTACACGACAAAGGCTTTCCTATCATTATAAAGTATAAATGAGACAATACATAATATTGTAATGTAATTCCTCAATTACCAAGTAGAGACTACTATTGTGATTTCTGAAATATTTCTGATCTGATGAGATGGAAATGACCACTTGGCATATCAGGCGACTGTGGGTGAGTGGGGCGCACGGTCGTCCTCCAATCAGAGGGTTGTCGGTTCGATCCCAGGCTCTGCTAACCCGCATGTCGTTGTGTCCTTGGGCAACCCAACATTGCTCCTGTAGCTGCGACTACAGTGTGTGAATGTTAGTTACTGATGGCAGGTGTCACTGTGTATGGTTCTCCTGTCATCAGTGTATGAATGGGTGTGAATGGGTGAATGATGTCATGTAGTGTTATAGCGCTTTGAGTGGTCGGAAGACTAGAAAAGCGCTATACAAGTACAGTCCATTTACCATTTACCATTACCATTACCATATC